TTTTATATAAATATATATATATGTATAAAATCCGTGAAAGTTGGCGGGTTTTACTTTTAAAAACAAAAGCAAAAAATCCCTGTAAATCCTAGGTACCTGGAAAACTTCTTCAGCTCTTCAGCTAGTCACTTAACCTGTCTGGGCCTCACTTTACCTGTTTCAAATTGGCTTCCTGCCTTTACAAGTTGAGAACTGGGTTTTTTCTACAGCTGTTTCAGTACTGCACCAGGGAGTGCAGCTGCAGAACCCAGCTGTGGCCCTGCATGTTCTGTTTTCCTCCCTAGAAGAGGCTAGACAACACAGATTAGGGTTCGCCCCATGATTTCCTTGAGGGTACACACTGGACATTGTCAGAAAAGCCATGAAATGTCCTCACCTGTATTTCTCTCTTCCTTCCCATGGCCTGCCCCGTGCAAGTTACGGCTATTGAACACATGCATGCACATTCCCATTCACCTTTCAGCTGTTGTGTGCACTTCTGTCAGGTCAAGGCAAGCTTGTACACTGTAGAGGTCAATGCTATCTAGGTACAACTCACTAATATCATACATGTATTTTAAGTGCTAATGTTATAAATTTGATATTCTAAATATCCTTACGATGAATGTGATCATTGGCTATAGAGTGGGTTTTTTTTGCTTTCAAGTGGCAAGATCACATAAAAATGATGGTATTTATGGTTCTTCACAAATTAGGATAAAGAACAAACACTCCGTTGTTTTTATTATTGCTCAGGACCTGTTCAGTAAACAGAAGGGTTATTTAGAGGAAGAACTCGACTACAGGAAACAAGCTCTGGACCAGGCATACATGGTAGGAAAAGAACAGTCATTACATGTTTGTGTTTGAAAAGATTTGATAAAATACAGGTTTTCTTTTTTAATTATAAATAGGGTTCTTTTTTAATTTATTTGTTTTTCTGCCAGACTAGGAAATCAAATATTACTTACATGGAGACTTAGGAAATGGATTATAGTATTTAAAAGTATAATGTTTTTGCAATGCATTTTTTATTCTAAAATATGTGAACATATTGTTAGTACATCTGGAATGGGAAGTGCTGGTTTATGTGTCCACAAGACCATGACTGATAAAACACACCAGAAATTATGTTAGAACTTTTCCAATATTGCTTTTCTCTAATCATTTGTAAATATTAGTGCTGCTAACATCCTATCCTAAGTTAGGAAAGCCTGTTGTTCCTATACAGTTCCTTCCTGTGTGGTCCTATTCAACCTTACACTTCCTAGTTTTCAAAAGGGAAGCTGCAACTCTGCCTTCTCTCAGGCTAAGCAACAGTTAGACATTATCTAAGAACTGATGAAACTGCACACCCAACTTTGTTCATAGTGGAACTTTAGGAAATGAAAATATAATGGCCTGAAGAATTATTATACATTGTAAATATTTCTTATGAGGAAAATGTTTTCAAAAAAAGAAGCAAGGTCTAGTGCTCAGAGCAGGTAACAGAAATAAAAGCAAGCAGGCTCTATTTCTAGCACTGTGACCTTGGGCAAGCCATTTAACCTCTCTGTGCAGCTGTTTATGCATCACTAATATGGATAGAATTACCTACCTCACAAAGGTGTTATGAGGGCTAAAGGGATGATGTCAGATGCTCTTGATCCATGCACTGTCAATCTGGATGCTGTTTTTTCAGTAGGATCATACTAACCCAAATAATCAGGAAGCACTGCCATGATACCTTTCTTCCTTTACTCTTGGGAATACAGTTCTTCATGCGAATGTGAAGTTCTCCTGTGCTCTCTGCTTTGCAAGTGCTGTGGTTTTGGTCAGTGCATCAGAATCTGGTTAGCAATCTGACAAATGGCAAGAGACTGATGAGGGATTAGTGTTCCTCTCTTCATTGCTTATGGCAACTTGGAACTAAGCCAGTCACGTAGACTTTGAGCAACGGATGGCAGGACAGTAGCGCCAGACAGAGGGAAACAGTAAGATTTCTGGTTTTCACAGTTCTCCCTGAGGGCTTTTTATTTTACAGGGTATCATAACAATTCAGTTGCAGTTGAAGGAAATCTGTTAGTTTGCATTAATTTTGTAATGTTCTGCACCAGTAGTTGGGGTTTTATCAGGTATTCAATGCAGACCTGTCATCTCAATCTTTCTTAAATAGGAGAAATCAATCATTTACTAGAACGGGAAGCATCACCTGGGTGTAAATCAGTGCTGGGAGGCTACATGCACTCTGTGTGGAATGCTCCTCACTGCTCACGACTGCTGCTTTCTGTCTACCTGTCTGTGTCTGTCATTCCCTCCTGCCTAAGGCTTCACTTGCTAGCCTTCCTCTCTAGCTGTTGGTGGGTCGTTTGCTTGCTGGATTCAAATGGCAGCCTGTCTGTATGTGATTTGGGTTGCATTAGAAAATCCAGGAGCTGGAAGCCACGCTGTATAATGCCCTGCAGCAGGATCCAGGAAGGTGGGCAAGCGAGTCGCTGACCGAAGCCCAGAGGGAGGATTTGCGAGCTGCAGTGGAGAAGGTGCGGCGGCAGATCCTGAGGCAGAGCCGTGAGTTTGACAGCCAGATCTTGCACGAGCGAATGGAGCTGCTGCAGCAGGCACAGCAGGTAATCCTGGTTCTCTCTCCTCCCCTTTGTTGGTGTTACCTCTGTAGTTGCCCCACTGCTCATACAGCAGCATTGCTTCACCCTCACCTTGTTGAGTTACGCTTAGTCTATTTGTATTGCTCCTGTGTCAAGGAGATGAGGACCCGGTAGCGCTGGGCATGGAACACAAAATGAGTCACTGTCTCACTACAAGGTCCTGTTGCACCATCTGTTTCATGTGTGTACAACCACACAGTCTTCCACAGGACTCCAAGGGGAGCTTGATGCAAGTTTAAGGCCTAAATTAGAAAAATACAAAGGGAACATTGTAAGAGTGTGGAAGAGTATGAAAAGAGGAAAGGCAGAAGTAGCAGTTACAGGACTCTAGGTTTTTTATCCCTCCCGCCCCCCTTTATTTCTTTTAACTAGTTGTGAAATCTTTTAAATAAGAAAAAAGACTAACACCCTCCCAAAAAAGCCCCAGGAAGTCTTTTAAAAGGCCATGCACAAGCCTTCATGCCTTCAAATTAGTTCGGAAAAGCCTTGTATGTCTAAATCACTTTCTTAAGGACAAATATTGACAACCTCAATTAAGGCAAGGTCCTGGCTTATGGAAGAGTGGCAATTATTTACTGTTGGTAGGATTGCTAGTTTTCTGTGCAATATTCATGGCAAGAAGAGAGTTGCATTTCTCAGGGTGTTAATTGTTTCAGCCAGAATGATTGTTCTTAAGGATTTTGGTTCCTCTTTACAGTAACCTCTACAAGTTACAGCAGGGTGTCTTAGATATCAAGGACTGCTCTGCAGTTGCTCTGGTTACTTTCTGTGCAAATCTGGAATCATGCACTGTGAATGCCAAACTGTGCTATGCAGGTATGTTCAGGATGTTGTTATTTCAGATACTGGTTGTAGGGCAAGAATTGCATTAGTTTAGTTCAAGCCTCTCTCTGTTCAGTTTGGCCTTTTAGATGAATATAGACCACAACTGATATAATGTACTGACCAGGCACTGTATGATCATCTCTTGCCTTCCTGCAGTGATAAGAATCATAGGATCATAGAATGGCTTCAATTGTAAGGGACCTTAAAGATCATCTGTGAGTGGGTTGTGCCACTCCTAGATGATCTTCAGTGCCATGCTACAGGCAGGAACACCTTCCACTAGACCATGTTGATAAAGCCGCGTCCAACCTGGCCTTGAACACTGCCAGGGATGGGCCACAGCCTGTGCCACTGTCTCACCACCCTCACAGTAAAGAATTTCTTCCTTATGTATAACCTAAATCTACTCTCTTTCAGTTTAAAGCCTCTTTTAGTTTAAAGTGCTGTCACCACACACCCTTGTAAAAAGTCTCTCTCCAGCTTTTTTATCTGCTTATGGTGCCAGTATTAGAGTTGACCTCTGACTTCATAGAAGTCTCCTTTCTCTTACTCCTTCACTATGTTCCCTTAGTTTGGAACACGTAACATTGAGATCAGGAGATGAATTTTTTAATGGGTCTTGGATCAACAATGGTGAAGAGAAAGCTGGAGAAGGTAGGCACCAGCTGTCACTAAAAATATTAGAGGGAGAGAGTAGAGTAAATATATGCAATTTGTTAAATAAGGATGGAGCCAGAAGTTATTAGCTTAACGTTATTAGTGTAGCTGAAAATTAGTGAGAATGGGTTTTTGTTGCTAGTCTCTTAGGCAGTCCAATTTACTAGCCAGACTGTTCGTGTTTTATTCAGAACTTTCAGTTGTGTAAATATTTATCAATGACATTTAAAGGGTATGGATGATGATGTGTTTTGACTCGTGCCTGTACACCTAAAGGATATACATTTTCAGTTTTTTACATCAGACTAGATATACTTGGGTCCTTTGCTTCCTCCACACATGTAGTTTGACATTGTTTGAAGGACCATTACTGGCTAGGACCTTCTGTGACCCTTGTTGGAGAGTATTTTTGGGGGACACCTGGGCCGAGGCTCTAAGTTAGACTCATAGAATAGAATCATAGAATAGTTAAGGTTGGAAAGGATCTTAAGATCATCTAGTTCCAATCCCCCTGCCATGAGCAGGGACACCACACACTAAACTAGGTCACCCAAGGCTCTGCCCAGCCTGGCCTTAAACGCCGCCAGGGTTGGAGCATTCATAGCTTCCTTGGGCAACCTATTCCAGTGCCTCACCACCCTCACTGTGAAGAACTTCTTCCTTATATCTAACCTAAAGTTCCCCTGTTTAAGTTTAAAGCCATTACCCCTTGTCCTACCACTAGAGTCCCTAATGAAGAGTCCCTCCCCAGCATCCTTGTAGGCCCCCTTCAGATACTGGAAGGCTGCTATGAGGTCTCCACGCAGCCTTCTCTTTTCCAGGCTGAACAGCCCCAACTTTCTCAGCCTGTCTTCATATGGGAGGTGCTCCAGTCCTCTTATCATCCTCGTGGCCTCTGGACTTGCTCCAACAGCTCCATGTGCTTTTTATGTTGAGGACACCAGAACTGGACACAATACTCCAAGTGAGGTCTCACGAGAGCAGAGTAGAGGGGCAGGATCACCTCCTTTGACCTGCTGGTCACGCTTCTTTTGATACAGCCCAGGATATGGTTGGTTTCTGGGCTGCAAGTGCACACTGCCTGCTCATGTCGAGTTTCTCATTAACCACCACCCCCAAGTCCTTCTCCGCAGGGCTGCTCTTAATATAATATTGGCACATAGGAAGGAAAACTAGGTGTAGATTTGTAGAGTGAAAAAGTTGTTTCTGAGGACCCAAATCCATAGTATGTGCATATCAGGAGTGTAATCTGGACTATTTGATCCCGTGGACTGCTCACTATCAGTTGGAGCACTTTAGGTGCACATCTGGAGAACATCTTCAGTTTGAGTCCAGTTCATATATTCACAGATTCTTCCACATCATAAAGTTAAATGTGATGAGTGTGGAAGAAAACTTCACTCCTGCTCTAAACAAAACTGCTGCTATAAACATAGCCTCATTAGCCTTGGATGTTTATGTACCTGTCTCCAAATCCATTATATAACATGTCATTAAAGTTTCATATTGTGCCTGTCTCATTAGACATGCCAATGTTACAGCCCTGCAGGACACATTAAACGGAATTCTATGGTTTAATAAGGAGCTAAGCATTTTAGTCATCTATTTTTAACCCCCTGTAGTAGACAAAACAAAAAAATCCAAAGGCAAAAATGCTAGTTAATTTTCCTGGGATGTGGGAGACTGCATTTGAAATCCTTTGCTCAGTTTCTTCATAGTTGTTATTTCTTGAAGGCTGTATTCATGGGTTCTTATGGGACCAGTGGTCAACACTGATAACCTAATAGTTGTAGGCAAATGTCTACAGCTTAAAAACAAGCAAACAGAAAACCCTAGCATGGATCAGTAGTGTCACAGGGCTAATTCTCATAGGATTTGGTTCATCCACACGGGTTGATGGCAGAAACTGAATGCTACACAAACGAAACCATACTTGTGTTGGCAGAAACCTAAATTATGGATCAAGCTGCTCTAAGTATCCATATACGCTATATTAAATTAATTTCCTCTTTTCCTTGTACATTAATGGCCACCAGAGGTTTTGCTGGCATTGTAACATTAGCAAACACCCATTACACTTTATTCTGGCAAAACTGTAATCTAGACCTGGTTGTATCTGTACAATCTGCATTGCTTTTAGGATTAGCACCACTCTTCCTACTCTGCTTTAGTGGAGGTTACAGAGAATGATATGACAACGTGGTGGACCTGCAAGACTTAATAGAGAATGTCCTTGTTGCAAACACTCTTAAAATTCCTGTGAAGCAGAAACCATATATTAAAGACTCCAAATTCTCTGAAATTCTGAAAGTTTGATCACTCTTTGGTCACTTCCAAAAGGTCTGTTTGTTTGCTTCCATTACTTTCTGGTCTGCCTGATATAAGGGCTCCAAAAGAACAACTCTGCTTATCCAGGCAGTCTGGTTACATCTTTCTCTGAGTCAGAGTTTATGTGTCAGACATATAGAATGTGGGTCCAAGATCTGATTATGGAGAAGGAGTTTTCTACTACAGGTAGATCTGCAGGGTTTCATTGTCGGTGAACTGCTTCATGCAGGGATTTTGAGGATTTAGTTTGGGAGATGCTGTTTTTCCAAAGCTGGTGGAATGTACTATCTGAAAGGGACAGGGATGTGCATAAGAGTGGGCAAATTGTTGTTCAAATGTGAGTCTGTGCTGCTTTATGTGTGCTTCTTTGTCTGGATATAAAACCTTAGTTCTTAACCACTGGGTATTGACTTTGTTCCAGTGAAATAAATATACTTCAGGATGTTAGGCACTGTTTTACATTGATAGGTCTGTTCATCTTGGCAATGTATAGACCCACATTATTATTGTTCATTAAACTAATATAACGGGACCTAAAAATGGAACTACCAATGTATACCCATTGTGTATTAAGGAAACCAGGCCTCTGTGGAGCCAAATTAGACAGACTGTGTGATTAGGCCTGCTTGCTAAGACACACACACTGTTATTAAACCCAGAATGCAACATGCAGGTCTGGGGCACAGATCCTCAGCTGAAGCTTACTGACAGTACTCCCTTTAAGTTGGAGAAGGTGCTTTGCTTTACACCATCCTCTCTATTAGAGGAGGCAAAATATGTTAATTAAAAATCTGTCATGAGCAGCTTGTGATATTTGCTTCTAGCCATAGGGTATGTGCAGTTCAACTGCCATTCTTGCATAAATTGCCATCAAAAATGTCTCGCTGTGCTACACACTGTTATTATAAGCCTTTGTAAACCGATGTCTGATTTATTTTTAGTGGGACCTCATTTAAAAGTAACATTCATGCTTTAGTCAGTGCTGTAGCATGACTTTTGTGAATTTTAGAAAATATGAAGATCATTACTAGCAGGTACTGTTAAGGAGGGTAATTTTATTTATATTGTATGTATATATAACGCGCTAACACACACACCCCAAAAAAACCAAACAAATCAAAACCCAAGCCCAGAACAAAAAAGACCAATGGCCC